ATGTAGAAAAAACATAAGTATTGAAAAACTATGAAATTATTAGTTCTACCAGAACATATTTTATATAAAATAATAATTATATAAATCTTTTTATATATATATAACAAAATTATTTGTTTCCATCAGATATTTTAGTAGAAAAGTAATTACAAATTCGATAAAATTTATGAGTTAATATCTATTTTTATATTAGAAAAAATAGATTTTTTTAATTTTAAAAAGTTTCGTGTGCTTTTTTTAAATTTAAACACCTCAATAATTTATAATTCTTCTAAAATAATAAAAAATTTATTCTGTTTTCCCATTAAATCGATTTTAAATTGCTTCGTCCAGATCTAAATTAAGATGTTCGACTGATAAAATGATTAATGAAATATTTAATCGCAAAACGAAACAATTACTAATTAATCTCTATAATTAAATATTTTAATTACTAAATCGTTGCATCTAAATATGTTATCTATACATTTATATCTTTATCATAAGCATATATAATTAATTAAATTATACTTTAGTTTAACATTATTTGTTATTAAGCGGCTTTTTTTTTCTTCGAAACTAACAAGAGATGGCTCGGAAAAAGAAAGAAAAAATAATAATAATAAACGAAACAATCTCTTAAAGATATTTGAAGATAATATCGTTTTCTATTAAAATGTATATCTGGAATAATATTACGCGATTAAATGTTATTCTTTCTTACAATTTTCTAAGGACGATTGAACTTTTTTTGTTTGGTAGTAACGCATTTCCGGTAGATTTTTATGATTGGAAACACGTTACCTAGGAAAAAATAGGAAAAGGAAGAAAAAAAACACGATATTAAATCTTTGCTTCAATCTTTTTTCTTTAGCTTTAATCCAGAATTGTATTCTTTTATTAAATTTTAAGGATTTGGAAATAGTTTTTCTCAGTTAAAAAATTAAATAAACGTTTAAGAGAATGACTTTCTTAAGTTACTCATTGTATGAATTTATCCGAAAATTCTATTAATATTTTAAGATTTAATAATAATAATAATAATAATATTTCATTAATGAATTTAACAAACATCGTAAAGCCCGATGAGTATATAGAAACATGTAATAATAATAGAAACATTGGATGTTTCTATTATTATTATAAAAGCGAAGACAATTCATCAAATTTTTAAACGCTTAACGGGTTTTATTTGTTAATTTATTCCTTTATGAAATGAATTGCCGATAAGTTATCGGTGATAATAGTATTAATTCGATTAGCTAAATAAATTTAACGATACAATTATTAACGGTTTGTTTTTTGAATTCGCGACGTTATCCAGCGATTCTATAAAGATAAAGAAGATTCTCCTAATTTATATTCAATCTGAATTTATGTATAAATTTACAATTTTTGGAAAAATTCACATTTATCCTTTGATAGGCGGAGGAAGGATCACGAAAAGAGGATATCATAAACTACGAGCTGAGCCTGTGGTTTCCGAGGAAAAGCCATCGTTGGTAGCGAGTGAAGCCGATACGGATGGAACGAGTTCTTATTCGAGTACCGATTATTCGGACTACGAACAAGATGACGAAGAAAATACCGACAGTGAATACGGTAAACCATAATTAATTTAAAGTACATAAAATTGAATTTTGTATTTATTTCAAATTCTCATTTAACTAATTTATTTTATGTAAAATTTTAAATAATAGCGCGTAATTATATAAATATTTTAACAGTATTTTTCGTTTAATATCAAAGTATATATATTTTTGAATAATGTCAACATTCTCCAGCTATTAGCTCATCAATGACTGGCGGCGCCATCTGCTGACTATAATTAGAACTTATATACTATAATCGTCTGAAATTATATTATACTTAATTAAATTGTAAAAAATATATTATAATAATAAACAAAAAGATTAAATAAATTAACACCTTATTTATATTATAAGAAATAAATTTTATGTAAATAATTTCTTAAATTAAATGTTTATCAAATTGCAGAAAAATACTGCATTCAAATTTAATTTTCAACCAATGTATACACGTGTAGACACATATACAGTATATATATATGATTAAATATACACAAGCTTGACCTTATATTTATTTAAAGTGAAAATAATAAATTTATAAAACTGCTTTTACTAGAATTCATATTTAATTTTTTTCCCGTCTGAAATATAAAATTCCTAAAATGAAAATATTTTATTTACAAACCGAAACAGTTTTTACTTTATTAAAATATGTTTTTCCTTGGAAAAAAAAATCTGCAATTTAGAAAATGCACAGTATGAGTTATTCTACCACAATTTATATAACATGCTGAAAATTATTTACAGTAGAAATATTCTGTCGGAGGTTTTGTTTTTATATTCTCCTGCAATACTTTAGAAAAATTTATTGTGTTTAAAGTAATGTAAAATCGAGGTCCTCAGTAAGTAGAGAATGTGGCCACTAGTGGCAGAGTATATAAAACCGTCCCACACTGTTGGTTTGTCGCGGTTTCGTACCTTAACAGTATCGGTCTCGGGTTCGTGCCTAACCAACGATTTTCCGGATTTTTTCACCTGTCTAATTTACTTTTAAATAAGTGCCAGTTTCCTCATAGTTTTCCCTTAGTGTCGCATGGCCCCGTCTTATTAATCCAATCCGATCCATTAAGTATAGAAAAATGATTTGAATTTAAAATTATTAAAATTTCGGATAAAAAATTTCATATCTAATTTTGTATATAAAAGTACAGTATATTTTGTCATAGACACAGATGTAAGGACGTCCATTTATGTCTCTTTTTTGTTATTTACCTTATTCTTCACTTAAGGAACAAAGAGTAAGATGACAGCGAGGGACATCTGTGGGAGAGATACACGGCCGAACACCTTTAGTATATTTATCACAACATATCAAAAACGTTATAATTTATTTCCTAAATTAAATATAAGACGGCACAGTCGAACGATGCGAAAGCGAGTTCAGAAAAATATAAATTATTGAAATTAAAAAATATATATCTCGTGCTTTCTCTTCATCTTTTTAAGATAAATCTGTTGATTATTTAAAAACTGGGCTTTTCTTTCTACATCTTGCAACGTTGATGAGACACACACATTTTATTGTTCTATGAAATGTGTCATCGGAAATAAAATATCTGTTTAATCTATCCGAATTTTCTGGTTTTATCATCTTCTTGATGTGCCAAATAATTCTTAATATATTATGGAAATATTATTCAGGATTCGTCATCGGTTTTAAGAAAATTTTGTTCGATTTCTGAATTTGTACTTAAGTATGATAATTTAATCAGTAAAAACTTTGATAAAAATTAAAGTATAATAAAAGTTATAAAAAAATTATTGTGAAATGGGAATATAAGAAAAAAAATCTACCGGGAAAAATATTCTTTCGGCCGTTTTTCAAAATGTTTCAATTTTTAAAAGTTCTGTGTTCAATAAAACATTTTGAAAAATGACCGGGACGTCTAACAAAGAAACGTCAACTGTCTTTAAAATTTTTATTGTATCCGTTTCTCAGTAATTTCAATGGATTGTCTTCTAAATATTTTAATTTTTATAAATTTTAATATAATAATAACGATTTTATAATTTATAACAGACTCAATCAGAAATAGGATAATTAAGCCTTCATTAGTATTTTTGTCTCAATTCATTTTTCTCTTTAACCGAAACGATTTTTGTTATAGCGTTTATGTTATTTCTCCTTTTCGGTTTTGTGATTTTAACCGAAACAGTTCGAACGGTTGTTTAGCCCTTAGTGAAAAAGTTAATTGATTATTTGTAGTGTCACCCGTAACGGATGAACAATGCGTTTTTCACGAAACACTATAAATCGCTGACGATGTCCATGAAGTAAAAAAATAACCAAACAGTTATTTGGTTGGGGTCACGCAAACACCAGTTATCGAATCGAATTATTATTTTCATTGCTTTAAAAAAATAATAATAAGAAATAAATTATGAGGTTAGAATGACCGGTCAAATCACCAAGAAAAATTTTTTTATATCGTACAGTAATTATTGTCATTCTAGTCAGACAATGTATGAATCAAATAATAAAGTAAGGTAAAATAATAAATTCTTCACTCGAATTATATATTTTTTTAAAGATTAATTATGCTTATAAATTAAATTTAACAAACTTTGTGGTACAATTAATTATTCCACATATAGTTCATACTGGAAATTTTTTATTTTTTAAAAATAATAAAGTAAAAATGTAATTATCTGCAAATATTTTCAAATTATGTATGTATATAAGTGTAAAATCATTCTAAAAACCTAAAATAATTAAAAAATATATAATCAGATATAAGAATATCCAATCTTGTAATATTTTAAAATGATTTTAGCTCTATAATAGAGAAATGCTCAAGCAAGTATTCAATAATTATTTTTGAACTAATTGATTATCTGATTAACGTAGTTGAACTATATTAGCATATATCGAAATTAGGTTAACTATAACAGAAGAGCAGAAACTGCCAAATTTATATTCTGTAACGGAACTAACGTCATATTAATTATAACAGAGTTATATTAACTATAACAGAAACATATTGACTATAATAATATACCACTTGAATAATTTGCAAGTAGAAACGGCTAAATTCTGTACTATTAAACACATTTATTATAACTTAGCCTTAATCGTAAATTATGTAAATAGAATTACAGATCGTTTCATGCAGTCTTGGCCTGGCAATGCGTGGTTCTCGGTTGGAGCTCTGGAAGTTTTATAAAATTTAAGAGTTCCTTTATGAAAATGCACAGTAACCTTGTTACACATTGGACAACACAATTCGTTTTCTTCACCAAATAAATATGCTGGTCCTGGTGTCAAGATTCGTGAAACGAGCTTTGCTTCTACATCAAATATACTGGAATTTATAAAAGCCAGTAAAATGATTGATTACATTTTTTTGAAACGGGATAAGAATTATAGATTTTTCTAATTTAAATATTTTGAATAATTACAGAGGAAGCTCTGACGTGCAATGTTTGCGATAGATCTTTCCGATCCACTCGCCATTTGGAACAGCATCAGCAGAAAAAGCGGCATTTTGGTTGTTCCATATGTGATTCAATTTTTCCGAATCTGATGGCTTTGGAACATCACAAGGAATCGCTAGATCACTGGTCGGAAGACGAAGGAAATGTTAAAGATAGCGAAACTGACGACGACAGCGAAGAAGACTGCAAAAGATCCGAAGAAATGGAAAGATTGTTGTAATTTAGATTTCCAATTTAACAAGCAAAGAAAAACAAGATGTATCGCTTAAAATTGTCGTGCTTCTACTTCCTTACTCCATTAATGATAATGTGAGAGGTCGACTATAAATATACATATATACATACATATATATATATATAATTATTTGTTGATAGAATCGTTAAAAGTAATAGTTGAATTTTTGGAGATGCAAATAATCGACCTACGTATCTTGTAAAATAATATTCCCTATTATCGCTATATCGCAGAAAATTCTTTGTATGTTATCTGTATATGCATATATCTATGTTCGATTGTAAATTACTACAAGTAATAATGTTCTAATGTATGTTGTACGAAAAATAAAATTAAGATAAACTTCTAGGAATTGATTTATCTTTCTTTTTATGTAAGTATTTATAAATTGCCCTCCAGTAGCCGAGTGGACAAAATTATTTAAATACAAATATGTGCCGGTGATTTTTAAAATGGTGTAACTTGTAAGTCACATACTTTTCGTTTGGAGTTATTTGACTTTTCAATATGTAAAACTTAAAAAAAAAAAAATTCAGCGACGAATCGCTTAAGTTTTCCGGCAACATTTTGTGGCGCCATCTGTTATCATATTTTATTTTAAAAACTGTTATTTTTTTAATTATTATAAAATGGCAAAATGCTTAATTTTGAGGATAGAGATGGGTTATATAAAAAATTGTAAGTGCTTAATAACAATTAAAATCGCCATTGAGTCCGACTCTACTATAGATACACATGACACCCTTTATCTATCCACCCCCTCGACCTTTACTCATCAAAATTAAAATAGTATCAACCCCCTAATAAACAAACCTCCATGCAAAATTTCAGAAATTTTCGACTAAAAGCGTAGGAGTTATTAAGCTTCAAAGTAAGTAGACAAAATCGTGCCCCCACACTTAACATTCATAATTATGTAAAGAAAAACCCAGAACTTTTTTTCATTTCTAGACGTTTCAAATTGTCCTGAATCCAAAAATGTAAAAATCTTGGGAGTCCTTTTTTTATCGCTTGCCATACTTTCCCTCTGTTATATATAACAGCCGGAAATGTAAAATAATAGTTTTTCTGATAATAAAAAGAAAAGTATATTTGTAAATATTTGCTGCATTGCCACTTTCATTTTGAATGGATAATATAAAATACTTTTCAGTGAATTTACAAAATATTTTTTCTTTTAAATGTAATTGTAAAATTTTACATTTTAAAAAGATTGAATTATTGACACATTGAAAAAAGACTTAATGCATTTTGGTCCTCAATGGACCTTCCTCAGCCACAACAATATGAATATAGATATATGTGGGTTTTTAAAACTATTGTAGATAACATTTGTATTAACAGGTCACTCTGTTAATGACTGGAAAACGCACTAAACAATTGAGGTAGAGCAAGATAGTTTTTAACACTTCTGAACTAACATTTATTTCGTAGACGTCTGTTACAGTTGAGTGCCCTCTCGGTACAAAAACTACTAAACAGACTAATTTACACTTGACCTCTTCCTTTATAACAACAAAAATAAATAAATAATAAGACCTGACAGACGGGGAAAAAATAAAATAAAGAGAATGTTCATTTATAAAGCCAAACGTTCTGGAGGACGACTTTTTCTTCCGGAGCGAGTAGTCAGTCACACCATTAGAGTACGTATGAGGTATCCTTTGGTCAATGACATCAAGTGATGCTGTCGGATCCATAAACTGAACTACGTCTTTGTGTTCCGAGCTTCCTTCACTTCCTGACTGCGATAAAGACTTAGGAGATCTAATTGCTATCTGGCGTTTGAGTGATATTCTTGCTACGGTTGGTCGTAGCACTTTACTATTTGCGACGAAGAGTGCCGTTATTACCATATCTTATCACATTAGAACGCGTGCTATACACCAGCTTAAACTCAATTTCTAGATGCAATCCTTCAGTCTTACTGATTGGCCTTGTACCATATTTGCAGATTTATTTCTTGAAGTAGTAGTAACTGCCACAAGTTGCCTTTCTCTGATTACTTGAAGATATGCAGAAGATGGTTTTCTAGGCAACCGTGACAATAGATGCAAAGATATTAAATCACGGATAGGTCGTCCAAAAAGACGTTGAGCAGGAGAGGGAAGGTTTCCTCGAGGAGTATTCCTGCAGTTGTATATCCGTCTATTCCATAACACAACGTCTCAAGATTAGCTTTGCTATTTGCACATAGCGTTCAACTAGACCATTCGATTTCGGATAATGCGGGCTTGATATGTTGAATTTTCCAATTTTTTGTAAAGTTGTGAAATGCTTCTGACGAATATTGTGAACCATTATCCGATTCTAGTAGCCTACATCCGGTATGCCGTCTATTGCAAAAGACGGCATACCTTCAAATAAGTGATTAATGTCTTAGAAGTCAAATAATCTTTTTTCCCTTTAAATCAAAGTATTCTGTGTCAACAATAAGACAATACTAGGCCCCGGAAAATTCAAATAGATCCGTGGCTACTCTTTGCCAAGGGAATCGAGGAACCGGTTTCATTATTAATGGCACTGTATTCGAAGTTCGTGCCGTTTGCTGACAAATCGGACATCTTTGTACGTAAGCTTCAACATTACAAGTCATTCTATATCAAAATAAAATTTCTCTGGCGCGTTGTAGCGACAGATTAAAGTACTAGAAACTATTAAACGGCTGTCTTGAATAGCAGATCTTCGTATACTGTTAGCTCTTCTCTATAATTACAATACTTTCTCAAACGCCGAGGAACTTTTTTCATTGTCGTGGGCAATTCTCGAGGATTAAACGTTTTAACTCCTGTAACTCTTCGTCGTTATTGATAGCTGCCAAAAAGTTTGGAAAACTTATCAATGGGAGTGGAAAATCTAGAACGACTTCAAAACACTCAACCTCTTCTTTATCCAAAGAATCATTAATACAGTTGCGACTAAGATCATCTGGAATGTGTATATTCTTACCCTGTTTGTAAATGATCTTAGGTGAATACTGGAACATATCAAAACGCAACCTCTGTAGTCATGCCGGAGCAGATTGTAATGGCATTTTCTCTAATGCTTCTAACGGTTTATGATCTCTTTCAATGGTGACATCCTTGCCATAAATGTACTCGTGAAATTTTTTACATTCAAAGCGGATGGCTAGGGCCTCTTTTTCAGTTTGAGGATAACGTTGTTGCAGTTCTGTCAATGCCTTAGTTGTATAGGCTATTGGTCTGCCGTTTCGAAGAAGTATTGCTCCTGCTGCATTGAAACTTGCATAAACTGAAACTACTACCGGTTTATTTACATCAAAGTAAGCCAGTTTTGGCGTATTCTGTAAAACTTCTTGTAATTTACAAAAAGAATTTCCTTGCTCAGCAGACCATTCCCGTAAAGTATTTCTTTGCAGAAGTCTACGTAAAGGTTCGGAGAGCTTGGAGTAGTCTAGTATGAATTTTGACACGTAATTTATCATTCCTAGATATCTCTAATTCTTTGAGACAAGTGGGAGTTTTGAGCTGTTGAATGGCCTTTACCTTAGAAGGATCTATTTCAATGCTTTTGAACGTAAAAATATGACCTAAAAATCGGACTCTAGTTTTTTCGAATTCGCATTTTTCTTTATTTAATTTAAGCCCTTTGTCAATGAGTCGTTTTGATGACTTTTAGTGTTAACTTATTTACGCTTTCTGTTTGCCAATAACAAGATGTCGTCCATTGAACATTTAGTATTTTCAAAATCATTCAAAAATTGAATGCATTATTTGTTAGAATATATCGGGCTGAGGAAAGACCAAATGGTACTCTCATAAATGAGTACCTACCCTAAGGCGTGTGAACTGTCAATAAGTCTGATGTTCGCTTAGACACTCTAAGCTACCAAAATCCCATTTTTTTCATCTTTTGGCATTTTTTGCATCTTAAAATACTCGGCAGTTCCCTCTCGAGCTGCCATTTCTTCAACTGTCTTAAGCGGAAAATGGTATTGCTTTATTGATATTTGTTGGATACAAACACAAGTATACTCTCTCCTCTTTCTTCACACTAATGGATTGTCTACAGGGGTTAAGTGTGTGTTACTGGTTTCAAGATTTTCATCTTAACCGGTTTGTTTTGAATAGTATAATTGACCTATATTTATTAAAAAATTTCAGTCTCCGTATGTTAGATTGGCTAATTAGTACCCTCAGCTTTTCTGCCAAGTCAGCTGTGATAATATAATCTTCGACACTAGTATCTAATTAAAATTCACGGCTAATCCGTTTTCAAATGTTACCATTGTAAACCAAGCTCTCTATTCCTTTGCCGACATACCGTCGACATAAAGGGTGCCATACGAGTAGTCGTCTGATTTATCAACACTATTGTCTTTATAAACTTCTTGAGTTTCCTCTTTGTATATGGCTTTGTTATATGTTTTCGTTTTCTGCTTCGCTTTATTTTTACATTGACGAGCGCAATGTCCTTTTTTTATTGCAATCCTTGCAGTTAACATTAAACGCATGATACTTAAGAAAATCGTGCGATAACTCACATCGCCAACACAACTTATCCTTATTAATTTTTTCATAGAGCTTTTATAGGCACCTGAGTAATCAGTTTACTTGAAAGTATCGTCTTAGAATTCTTAATAGGCATTATTTCTCTGTCGTTAGTGTCAGAAACGACATTCATTTTCTTTAGTTGATTAGTAGCCTGTTCACTTGCGCAACAGATACCAATGGCTTTATTTAGTGTTAATTCTTTTTCAGTTAGAAACATTTTTCGCACTTTATCTGAAGTTATTCCCCGCACTATTTGATCACACAATAAACTATCCTGCAGGTTACCGAATGCCCTCATTAATTTTCGTTTGTACGAATACTTTGGTCAAATAAGAATCAAATATTTCTTCCTTCCCTTCAACGCAACTGAAAAACACATATCAAGTATAAATCTCATTCAACTCAGGAAAAAAATAATCATCGATCATCGAAAAATCATCGAAAAATAATCATGGATTGTCTACGGGGGTTAGGTGTGAGTGTGTTACTGGTTTTAAAATTTTCATCTTAATCATCGAACCCGCGTTTAATGGCATCCACGTTATTCGGCTCTACCTCTGTTAAATCAAATGTATCGTAGACCACTGTTGCCGCCGGTCCAATAATTAATTAACATCGCATTAATTAATTAGCGAGGTTGCGGCCGAAGTTTTCAACGCGAAAACGTGAACGTCGGACGTTCAGCGCCGCCTTTCTATAAGCCTAGGAGTTTGACAAAGGCGTTTGGAACGTCAAGCAAAATAGAGAGGTTGCGGCGCAAGTTCAAACGTTACTTGTAAACGGCAAGCAGAAGTACACGGTTTACGTTTTAACTCCAAGAAAAAAATCGTT